CCCCACAGGGTTTAGAAGGCTGTAATCTTTACGAAAGCAGACTACCACATCACATCTTTCTCCCACGGATTCAATTACCAGCCAAGCATTTAACCACTGCACCACCAGCGTTCTTTCAGATGCACAATAGGTGACAGTTCATCAGATGAATGACAGAGCTACCCAACAGGCATGCAGTCAATGACCATTACTCAATCTTAGTTTGAAATCTAAATGTTTCCCCATTTTTTTCTGAACTAGTTTTTGCTTTCTGCAAGAGATATAAAGATGTATTTAAAAGCAGGATAAATCTAAAAGCAGGAAATACACATTTTTCCTCCTGGAGACAATGACTTGGCAAGGAATTAAGTTAGCTATAATGCTAAAGCATTATTTTTAACATCTAAACTTGTCGTTAGCACTAAATTGAGCTGCTTATCAGGAACCAATAACAAGAATATCCTCATATTTGAAATTAGTAATGTTATATATGAAAAAGAATTACACATCTTAACTCCAAGAATTGATTGCATTGTTATTACCTGGTCTCATTTAACCATTGCTGTCAAGTCGTATCCAACTCATGGCAACCCCTCCCTGAGTTTCTGAGGCAGTATCACTACGGAAATAGATTGCCCAACTTTCCTTCTGAGGAGTGGCTGGTGGGTTTGAACCACCAGCCTTCTGGTTAGCAGTTATATGCCTTAGGCACTATGCTACCAGAGATCCTTGGTCTCATTTGTTGTTGTTGTTGTTTGCCATCGAGTTGGACCCAACTCATAGCGACCCCTCCTTGGGTTTCTGAGGCAGTATCACTACAGAAGTAGATTGCCCAACCTTCCTTCTGAGGAGTGGCTGGTGGGTTTGAACCGCCAGCCTTCTGGTTAGCAGTCAAGTGCCTTAGGCACTATGTTACCAGAGCTCCCCTTGGTCTCATTTAGTAGTAGTGAATTCGTGAAACTGAAGATATTGATGACTTAAGAAGATTGTCACAATGTAGTGAGAGAAACTTTTTTCCCTTCATTTCATTTACTGTTTGAATGACTGATCTGTATTATTGGATTTGTAAGGATGTATTTTTAGTCCTACTTTTTCTTTAAATGTCCAAAGTTCCTATGTAAAAATGGTTGTAATCTTTATGAATAGCTTAATCTCACCTTTAAAAATATATTTTTAAAGATTGATATTAAAAAGGTTATTGGATTCTGAAGGGGCTTTCCTCAACATTCCTAAATTATCCTTAGTTTAAGCTAGCGATTCTCACTCCAGGGGACATGTGGCAATGTTTGGAGACATTTTCATTGTCACACCTGGGGTGGGGGGCATTTACTGGCATCTAGTGTGAAGAGGCCAGGGATGCTGCTAAACACCCTAGAATACACAGGGCAAGCCCTTACAACAAAGAATTATCCAGTTCAAGATGTCAGTAGTACCCAGGTTGAGAAACCCTAGTTTAAACATAACAAAGCTCTCACCATCTCACAGGAAAACTATCTTATTCTAAATCCAAACTTTCCTCAGTGATTTTTTTCAAAACCCCAATTTCTATTCAATTTTAGGGTACCTGCTATAGGCCCAGGATCTCTGGTGGCATAATGCCTAAGATATTTGACTGCAAACCAGAAGGCTGGTGGTTCAAACCCACCAGCCACTCCTCGGAAAGAAGGTTGGGCAATCTACTTCCATAGAGATACCACATTGGAAACCCAAGGAGGGGTCGCTATGAGTCAGATGTGACTCGACGGCAGTGAGTTTGGTTTGGTTTGGTTGATGTATGTCCACTATAGCTTGGTTGGCCCTGTGGGGGCAAAAAATGTACCAAATGTGGGGAAATATGGTTAATTCTTCCTCAAACATCTCCTTATTTTGTTGATTATTTAAAAACAAAAAAATAGAGGGATAACACAATGTTTTTTCTGCCAGCAATGGAGCCTGACAGCTGTATGGAATATTCATGATGGCCAAATATCATGAGGAAAATTATCCTCTATTTTCAAAAACAAAGTTTAAAGATGGAAAATGAAAAATCAGACATACTAGTTCTAATAGCTGGTGCTGAAATAATGTGGAAAGGACTTTCTATAGAAAAACTATGGAGGGGCAAATGGGGAGTTCTAAGGGTAGTAAGTGCTTTCCCCTGTGTCCTTCAATTCAGTGTGCATAAAAACTAGTACTGACCCGACACACGGAGGATCCCAGGTACTTTTGAAAAATAATTTTCAGATCTTTAAGAAAAAAAAAGAAAGAGGAGGAGGAATTTTCTGGAATTAAAGCTAAGCTCTGGTAGCATAGTGCCTAAGGCACTTGACTGCTAACCAGAAGGCTGGCAGTTCAAACCCACCAGCCACTCCTTGGAAGGAAGACTGGGCAATCTACTTCCATAGAGATACCACCTTGGAAACCCAAGGATGGGTCGCTATGAGTCGGGTCCGACTCAAAGACACATAACAACAACCACCTAAGCACACAGGAGCACCAAATTGAGTGGCAGTGTTTTTCTAACTTCAGAGAAAAAATGAAAGTGCTGTTTTAAATATACTGCTTATCAGGTGCTACTGGCCTTGAGCAGAGCTAATTCAAAGGGAAAAAAGACAAACTATTGCATTTCCCTGGGAGAATTAAAAGGCAAGACAATTAAAGGGAGAGTAAAACCCAAATAATATCATACAGATTTAGTATGAGGTGGCAAATGTAACCCACCTAACCCAATATAAAAATACTGCATGTAATTAGCGTCTTTGGGCATTTTTAAATGCACTCAGCCAAACAGTCTTTAAAAGGTGTTATTTCTCACATTAACTCTACTCTACAATTTGGTACATTCATAAGTGTAAATTGGAAATACTCTTCTGAGGTTAGGTTTAATTATATTGGAATTAAGTGCTTTTTTTTATTTCCCCCTTTCCAGAAAACTATTTCAGAAATTTAATTAAAGAATGCTCTTTGGATACAAACTAATATGCATCCTGCTGCACAGAAACTATGAAATTATGTTTTTCTTCCGTTTTAATAAAAGCAGAATGATGTGAAATCAAAATAGGTCTTTAAACCTGAAACTTGTTGGCTCCCAACAAGGCATATCAAATATTTATGTAGAATTTGGTCCACAGTGGTGAGCTTCTTAGAGAACGCCCTGGTCTATGTGAGTATCTGTCACAATTAATTAAAAATAGAAATACTGACTTCCATTTTCCCCCTTTTTAACTATAAAGTGCATATAACCTGGCTCAATAAACTACTTAAAAAAACCCAAACTCACTGCCATGGAGTCAGTTCCAACTCATAGCCACCCCTCCTTGGGTTTTCTAGGCGATATATCCCTGTGGAAGGAGATTGCCCAACTTTCCTTCTGAGGAGCAGCTGGTGGCTATGCCTTAGGCACTATGCCACCAGAGCGCCTCAGTAAACTACTAGGTATAACAACATACTTAGACTTTTTTTTTCCATTTATCCAATCCATGGTCAATTGTTAAGGAATAAAAAATTTCCTATCCTACTGATCACAGCTGCTTACTTATTTCAGTCTCTGAATTTAAGACTAAAACACATTTTAAAAGGTGATGTTTGTGCTAAAAACTGTAGGTGCCATTTACTTTACCAGTGTAGCATTTCTGATGTATTCTGTGCAGATTCTAAACAATCTGTGTAGGGCACAGCCTGAGAGAGGGTTATTTTCAGTTCATCTTGCAAGCCATCAGAAAAGATACTAGGGCTCTACTGAAGCATCCCTTATTTCCTCAAATCTGTCTTGATTAAATTAAAAATAAAAATATTGATGTCTAAATGATTGATAAATACATGGCAGATGCTTCTCCAATACTATGTTGGTTTGAGGTCTGAATCAGATTCTAATAAATTTATTGGAACTTGATAATATGTGTCAGAGACATAAAAGAAAATCTAAGGTCTTCAAAACACATTAGAAGCAGCAATTTAAAAAATTCTCATTTCTCCCTCAGACATATACTTTTCCATCAAGTTACTAGTTGGCAGCTATAATAAATACTTTAAATTTTACCTAATTAAAGAAAAGACAGTCTAGCTTATTTATTTGGCAGTAATGAATACTCAATGTTACACATTTGCCTATCCCCGGAATACTCATTTTCTCTGGTAAATGATACACAGATCAATGTGACCATATTAAAGAAGACTCACAGGAAACTTAAGTAAATAAATAATTCATTATTAAAGCAGTAAATGATGACAGGCCTAACTGGTCTGACTAAAAGACAATATGTAAGTACTTATTTCATACTTTAGAAAGTAGAAATATTCCCATAGTTCCAAGTGAAAAAACAAAACAAAAAAAAAAAAAAAGGATTTTATATATTCAAACATCTGAAATACCCTAAAGCTGTAGTTTAGTTCACAACAGAAAGTATATACTAGCTTTCTCTCCAACTCTCAAAATGAAGAGATGGTCAAAAGCATTTGTACTTCCACCCAAACTCTTCTTCCTCTATGTTCTGAGGGCATTTTCTACTTAGATACTCATTTCACATTATTCAAAAATGAGTCAGAAAAAAAAATAATAATAATTCAGCAGTGACAGAAATATCTAACTTTTCTATTTTATGATCTTCCAGGAAATGGGAAAGAAAATAGCTATTATAGTTCTTAAATTTTTTCAATATACTGAGGCTATGAGCTCACCTGAGAGTCAGCTAGAAGTTCTAATCAAAGAACCAAACTACTTTGAATGCTGTGTCCACAGTCATTGAGTATCAGACTTCAGGGTCCCTGGTTTACACACTAGTGTGGTTTGCTTTTGAAAATAAAAGTTCAAACTAAAACTGTTGAAGTGCAACATGAGATGGATAGAGTAAAGTAAAAGGGTTGCTGGTCACATAGAAATTAACAGACATGTTTAAAAAATCCCCAACAGCCAACCCCTTTTTGAACATAGAGAGAGCACACTGCAAGTTTGGCCAGTGCCTACAATCCACAAAGCTCTTCGCATAAGTCAAGCTGATGGCCAAAGTGCCTTGTCTATCCACTCTGATTATGTGGGTACCAGATTAAAAATGTGTGCTGTTTACACAATGTTGGTCCTCCTGAGTGCCTTTAAAAGCTTGTCCATAGCCACTCAGACAGCTGTCTGAAGACACCTCAATAGCCACTTCCGTCATGTCTCTTCCACTGGGGCCATCACTTCGGTGTGCTTCCAGAGCTGGATAGCCATTGTGCTCTGCACAGCCATTGACATGAGCCAGGGGCAGTGCCCCAGGGGGACAGCACAGCTGTTTTGCACAGCCCTTGGAGATGCAAGGTGAGCTGCAGAGCAAGAGCAAATCCTTCTGCTCTAAGGGCTCCCTCAAGTCCACATTTTCAAACTGAATGGTCACATTGTGGATTCCAGCGTTGTGGAAGATTTCCCGAATTTTTACACTGGCGTCCTGATATCCCCTGCCCTTCTGATACTTGATGTGCAGCGTGGCAATGATCTTTCCGCTTATAAGTTCCCAGATGTGCACTTCATGTATGCTGCTAATTCCAGGCACGTTAGAGAGCTTACTCACTAGAACAGAGAAGAGCAAACAAAGCAAATGTGAGTTCTATAATTGAACATGGAACTGTGGGAGAGTTCTGGGCCTTTCAGCTTTCTCATCAAAATGACTACATTGTTGTTGTTGTGTGCCAGCCAGTTGATTCTGATCCACAGCAACCCTAACTCATAGCAACAGAGTAGAATTTCCCTATAGGGTTTCCTAGGTTGTAACCTTTACAACAGCCAAGCACCAGGTCTTTTCTTCTGTGGAGCAATTTATGGGTTCAGATCATCAACCTTTTGGTTAGCAATGTAACCACTGTGCCACCATTAATAAAAGTTACAACTAGAAAAATAGTTGTCCCTTTATGGGTACATTTTCCCATAATATTCTTTCTCCTCTCTAAATTCTTATACCATATATAAAAGCACATAAAGGGCAATTCAAGACTATAGATTGAACAAAAATCAGTAACGCTAATAGATTGCTAGTGGGAGTATAAAGCAAAATACCTTTTTTAAGGGCATAGTTTGACAATATGGATCAAAAGCCTTTGAATTGTGGCCAGTAATTTCAGTACTATCATTTTATTCTAAAGAAAATAACCATGCATGTTCTAAATTATTAATGTACAAGAATAGTTTGGACAATACAATTTGTATTAATGAGAAAAAAAATGGAAACTGTAAGGAAATAGCTAAATCAATTGTATAATGGGATACAGTAATAGTCATTAAAAAGTAGGTCACAGTGCAAAATTTACAGATATGTGGAAATGTACATGAGACATTTTAAAGTGAAAAGATAAGTAAACTGTACATATGATATCATCTTTTTTTTCTTGCAAAACATCAAAGTATATGCACAAAAATATTAAGGGTGTTATTTCTGGGTGGTAAGGCATTTGGCTGCTAACCAGAAGGTCAGGGTTCAAACCCACCAGCTGCTCCATGGAAGGAAGATGAGGCAATCTACTTCTGTAAAGATTTACAGCCTCGGAAGCCCAATGGGGATTGCTATGAATCGGAATCAAATAGATGGCAGTGGATTTGGTTTTTGGTTTATTTCTGGATGGTAGAATTATCCCACAATTTCCTCTTCTTTAGGCTGGCTCTTCTGTATTTTCCATGCCTTCTATAATGAGTATGTATTTAAAGAAATGGTGTTTAGTAGCGGTTTTGAGCAAAGATCCTACAGCCAGCTAGCATCTGAAATTCGGTTTAGTCATTTACTACCCATATGGCCTTGGGCAATTTACATAGCTCCTCTGTGCCTCAGTTTCCCTGTCTATAAATTAGGAATGATAATAACAGGACCTCATCAGATTATTTTAAGAATTTAAATGATTTACTATAAGTAAGGCACTTAGAACAGTACCTCGCTTGTATAAGTGTCATAAGTCATTATTACTACATATTTTTTAAAATAATGTTTTCTAAAATATTATGTTATTAAAAGACAATCTCTAATTTGATATTTTAAAACTTAATTCCCTTTCCCATTCTCCACTGTAAAACATATTGTTTTAAAAAAATTTCTAATGTATAACAGCTAAAAGGAACATTTTTTAAAAATGGAAAAAGGCAACCTAAGCCAATATATATCATAAATTTTGTTGTATATGCTTATCTTGTTTCCTCAACTGGAAAACAGTTCCTTGGAGGAAACAAGCAATGTGGTTTCTCTCTCTGCTCCTCTCTCTCTGCTCCTCTGTGCCTCCTCTCTCCTTCCCACTACTTCCTCTGCTTACAGCACTCACTGGCAAATAGTAGGTGTTCAGGAAATAGAGGTTAGTTTTTTAATTCTGTGCAACACTATGCAGAGAGATGGCCACACCTAACTATCAGAGACAGTAAACTAACCAACACAGCCAAAGAGGCCAAAAGGGCACTAGAACACCCAAGGGAAAAGACCACAGGAGAAGCAATAGCTATTGGCAATGGCACGGAAGACTCATACCAACACATGTTATTAAATGAACACAGGGATACAAGACAGTTGCCTTCATAAAACAATCACTGTAAATCACACCTTCATCAGGGGAAAGTCTAACCAGGCCATACAATGCATTATGACCTATTTCAATATCATTTCAGGTCTTTGTCACAAAATAAGGTCTTAAAACTTTCAGTTTCATATGGGCCTAGGCTCTATTTCATGTTTGCTGGCTCACTAGTTATGCCATGGTGGGTATAACAATATCAAATATGCATTGAATAGTCACCTTTTTTCAATTACAAAAATCATTTCTATTTAGAAACACTAGAAATAAAGTTGTGTATTCAGTTTCCCACCAAAATCTGAATAGTTCCCACTTAGAAATTATACAAGTCTCTGAAATGTTTACTCTCAGAAGCATATAACTAAAGTGAGAGTTTGACCTGTTTGAGCAAAGCAAAGAAACAGATTTCATTATTAAATGAGAGTCTGAATGACCTGAATTTAAGATTTGTCTTTTTTACAGTGTTATGAGAGACATGCTGGCTTGCATACCCATTAAAAGCAACTAATTAGAAAGCATTCATAAATCTATATATGATTTATGTTTTCAGAATAAGGAGAATAAAAAATTAGTTCTTGGCAAAATTGAATCTTATTTGGTCTCATTTGAATTAAGACCAAATTAAGACCAAAATTTGTCTTATTTGAATTAAAACAAACCTTTGAAATAAAGGCAAATAGTCCAGATAAAGGGCTCAAGTACTATGTTTTCAAAAATTCACAGGTGAGTCAGAGAATCATTGGTTAGAAAGGACCTTTGGTTCTTGCAGCAATGAGTCATCTTATTGGGTTACAAAACACAGGATGGTATGTCATTATCTCCTGGTGATTTGAAGTGTTTCAGAATACATAAATCAAACATTGCTCTGACATAATGCTGACCTTTTGGCCTGTTGTTGTTGTTGTTATGTGCCATCGAGTCAGCCCTGACTCATAGCGACCCCTCCTTGGGTTTCCGAGGCAGTATCACTACGGAAGTAGGATTGCCCAACCTTCCTTCCGAGGAGTGGCTGGTGGGTTTGAACCGCCAGCCTTCTGGTTAGCCACTTTGGCCTAGGTAATATGAAATCAACAATAATTCTAGATCACAATCCGTCTGACTTACTCAGCTCTTCCACATCAACTCCTTTAGGGACCATCTGCAGCAAGATGGCTGCAGTCTCCTTGATGAGTGGAAAGGCAGATGACAAAATGATGATGACCATGACCACAGTGAGACTGGGGTCAATGTAGCACTGCCAGTTACAGGGGTCCTCATCCTTCAGGGGAAGCACATAGAATATGATGGCCGTGATCACCACAACCACGGACCCCAGGGCATCTCCCATCACATGCAAAAGTACACCTGCCAGGAAGAAAGAAAGATGGCTAATGCACAATTCCAAGTTGGAAGTCACATGACACTTAACTGACTCATATTTTTATGTATAGTTATACGAATTGGTATTTGTTTCTTCTTTGGTTAGAACAACAGTAGGATGGGTCAGAATGAAAAAAATAATGGCACTTGCTTTTCAGAAGACAAAATATGAAGACACCCTCCCAAGACACAGAAAACCTGTGAAGCAGAAGACTCTGAGCTAGATAACACCTGAAGGAAGAGTGACTGCCATCTCCCAATGCCACAATGCCACCACCCACCATCCATCACAGAACACCAACCTGGAGAAGAGAGGCTGTGCAATGCTTTCCTTTTGTTTCAGGCAAATATTTATGCTTTTATTTGCTTTAGATACTCTTAAGAGGAAAGGGAACTAAGACAGATCAAGAAAGTTGTTTTTGTTACTCTTTGTCTTCCCACTACCTGGATTCTCCCTTCCATGTATGTATTTGCCAACATCTCACTTGAAAAAAAAAAAAAAGAGATCCTGAGTCAATTCCAACTCATGGTGACCTCATGTGTATCAGAGTAGAACTGTGCTCCGTAAGGTTTTCAAAGGCTAATTTTTCAGAAGCTGATCTCCAAGATGTCTGTGGATGGATTCAAACCCCCAACCTTTTAGTTAGCAGCCCAGTCATCAAGAATAGCAGTGTTCCTACTGAACAATGTGTCATTTGTTATAATAAAATAAAATTCTATAGATAATAAAAAACAGTTTCTAAAGGCATAAATGAGGATGTAGAAAACATGCACAAAAAAACAGTTGCTATCAAGTCAATTACAACTTATGGTAACCCATGTGTTTCAGACTAGAATTTCACTTCATAGGATTTTCAAAGAAAACATGCAATTCTCTCACTCAATTAAAATGGTAGCTAGTAATCCTTCTGTGTGTTAAACTTAACATGCTTTAACTCATAACAACTCCATGGGGTGGGTACTATTATTCTCATTCTAAAGATGAGGGAACTAGAGGGACAGAGAAATTCAACAACTTGCCCACAGTCATCTAGCTTTTAAGTGGGAGAAGCAGGATCCAAACCTAGACAGCTTGAGGACAAATTTGAATCTTTCAGCCACTGCACTATTCACCTCTATTGGAAGCTAAATGTGCACTTGTGGATAACAAGGCTTGGCCAGGTACAGCAAGGCATTTTAACACTGACATTTTTCCACCCAAGAGCTCCAATAACGTGGGACTAAAAATTAGCCAGATCATACACATTCTCCCTTACATTAGGCTTTTCAATCAAGGTCACAATATCTACTGGGGCCTATTCTTTATTCTTCTTTGCTTCTTTCCAACTACCTGTTCTCTTTGTCCATTCTGTAGCATAAGATATGAATGAAATAAGATCATTAACAGAAAATCCAATGCTATGATGGTAAAGTCCACCTTCAGAATCTACAATAGTTTTTAAACTAAACCCAAAAATGAAAGATAAATTAAAGGATGATGATTTTTTTCACAACAGATAGTCTCTTTCCAAAAAGGAGAGACGGCTGCTGTTGAATGGACTCCAGTTCACGGCCATCCCATGTGTGTCAGAGTAGAATTGTGCTCTATAGGGTTTTCAATGGCTTTTTTGGAAGTAGACCACCAGGCCTTTCCTCCAAAAGTCTCTGGGAAGACTCAACCAACTAATATTTCCATTAGCTGCCAGTGAGCATATTAACCTTTGCACCACCCAGGGACTCTACCAACTTCTTTAGAAGAACAAATTCCCCTGTTGCATTTAAATTTATTTTAAATAATTCATCCAGAACTTTTCAGATGCTCATATGTTATAGTTGTTTCCCAATTTTCTTATCAAGCCATTCTGGGAATCCCTTTGTAAAACAGACGTATGACTCTCAAAACTAAGGTGTCTCCTATATTATAACTTTTGTCTTTATATTATTTATATTATTTCCATCTAAGCATCACAACCACACCCTGAAGGAGGATATCATGCTTGGTAGGGTGTCAATGACAAAGGGGAAGACCTTCAACGAGATAGATTGACAGTGGCTGTGACAATGGACTCAAGAATGGCAATGATTGTGAGGATGGCACAGGACCTGGCAGTACAGGACCTGGCAGTATTTCGTTCTGTTGTACACAGGGTCACTATAAGTCAGAACAAACTTGACAGCATCTAACAGCAACAACAAACACCACAACAAGCTTCCCCAAACCGTCTGACAGTAAAGATTTACTTAAGCTTTGGTAAAATTTTCAAAGTCACTGTGGATCATTCTGAAGCATAATCTATGCCCGTGAAGTTGGAAAGGAGAAATATCTAATGTGTGAAAAAAAAAATTTTAAAAAAGGCATCTCTGATGTCCACTGGCTGACCTTTGCCCAGTGAGGTGAGGGGGGAGTCCTGGTGCTTTGCCTTCCACATGCCCACAGCCCATTTTGGGCCTGGAAGTGGAGTTTCTAGGAAGCAACAGACCCTTTAGAAAAGCAGATTTCTGGCAGAAATCATTAAGGTCGTGAAGGTCATTCAGCAATGCCATTTAGGGCATAGGCTTGGATAATATCCCACCTAATCTCTTCCTACTTTTATCAAAATTGAATTCAGTGGAGAGTTATGGAGTAAGTGGCACTAAGTTTCTTGGGGGGAATGATTAAAAAATTCTTTGGAAATGGATAGTGGTGATGGATGCACAACATGGTGAATGTAATTAATGGCACTGAATTTTACACTTAAAAATGGTTAAAATGGTAAACTTTTTATTATATATATTTACCACAATAAAAAAGATTAATGAAGAAAAAATCACTGTTAATTAAAATAGGCTGCATATCATGTTAGGGATATCCAGGCCTGGGCAAAAACAAGCAAAGTAGTAATGTGTCATTGATATGTCAACCATTGGGGCAGGCAGCATTAGCATGGGACTAAATGTCAACTAGTTTCTCCCTCAGAATTGATGCAGTGATTAGACAAGAGACTAGGGTCATAGTCTAAGCCTGTAATCAACCTACTTCAAACACACAATTGCCTTATGAAAAGTCAAACAAAAATGAACATAACCCAGCCCACATGCACCACAGAAAAGGATTTCAAATTGACCCAGTCATCCTACCTCTGATATTCAGAGCTTCGGACTTTTTCTCCTTTTTCATCATTTCTTCAGGCTCATTCTGAGTGTTTAGGGAATCACCTGCATTCAAAGAAGAAACCTTGTGTTGTGTATAAGTTCTACAAATAAAAAGAACCAATGGACTCAAAACAAAGTTTTGTTATTTTAAATTCCTACCAGCTTATCAGAGACCCTACCCCTCCACACACACAGCCCACAACAGTACATTTCAGCCCTGAAATATAAGACTTGTGTTCCACCTTTGGACTTCATACTTCCTTCCAAGTTAAAACAAAAAAGGGGCAGGTGGGAGCTTCCCACCCCAAAACCCTTAACTCCCAAGAGGGTAGAAGGGTGAGCAAATAGGGAGGGAGAAAAGCTAGGCTCAGATAGCAATGAATGGAGGCGGGGAGATGTAGTACAGTTACACAGAGAGTCCTACATGTTACTCAAAAATGACTTGATTTCCAAGAAAATCAATATACAAAGAATAGAAATCAATATACAAAGAATAAATTAGCAGAGGAGAAGTGAAGCAGACTGCAAAGGAAATGCATTTTAAAACAGAAAATTGGGAGAAAAGAAGGGCGTGGAGTTGGGAGGAAGGGCCAGGGCGGGTGCAGGAAGGATGAGCAGAGAGGTTCAGAGGATGCAACCGAAAGGCACCTGCTACGTTTGAGAACACTGTCGCCCCCTTCTCTTCTTTCCTTTCTCCTGGGGCCACCCGGAGGGTCACGGCCGAGTCTGTACCGGGGGCTGTCGGGGTAGAGGCCTGCCGCCGGTTCTCTGCGCCCTGGGGCCCCCCGAAACCGCCGCGAACGCTATCCTCAGCCAGTTGCTGCTGCTCGCTACGGCGGCGGCGGCCCCGGCCACACCTGGAGAACCAGGCGGCACAGTCTTGGAAGATGAGCAGCCCCACCACGTTGACTGCCAGCCCCAGGGCGCCGACTATGAGCACTAGCTCCGGGTCATCTATGCGCTCCGGCCGGGCCAAGCGCAGTATGGCCTCCACGAAGATAGTGAAGCAGAGCGCCGTGAGGAAGACGGCGTTGCTTAGTGCGCCCACCACCTCCGCCCGGGCGTAGCCGTAGGTGGCCTGGGAGCCCCTGCTGGGGCGTCGGGCGATGTAGCCTGCGCTCAGACCCACGCACAGCGAGATCAGGTCCGAGAGCATGTTAAAGGAGTCTGAGAGCAACGCGATGGAGTTGCCCACGTAGCCCGAGACCAGTTCTGCCACGAAGAAGGCGACGGTGAGCACGAGCATGAAGAGCAGCCGGCACGTCTTGCCCGAATAGCGGCCCATCTTCTCGAGCGGATCAGTAGAGCACCAGGCGCGGCCCGCCGCGCTCCTGCCTGCGGCGTACAGTGGAGATGGGGCGCGCCTGGAGCGCAGAACACTGCCTCCGCAACAAGTGGGGTTGCGTTGCGGACACCCAGACTCCTCCGAGGCCTAGTAACCGCCTCCCGTGCTTCGCTGACAGCCCTGCCCTTGGCTTTTTATAAAGCAGTGTCAAAGCGTCCCCGGTCTCTGCCACGTCCAGAGTCTAAAGGAGTGGCCGCGGCGGCGGCGGTATCTAAAGAGACCTTACGCCGCCTGCTCCGTTGGCTTCTTTCCCCTCCCTCACGTCCCAGACTTAACTTAGCAGGTGGCCAAGAGCCAGTGTCTCTCTGTGTAGGACAGATCTGGGCAGAAAGGGGAGTTGTTAAGAAGAGGGAACGTGTCTGGATTTCAATCCTTACAGACACCCCTAAACAAAGGTGGATTTCACCCAATGGCTTGCCTTCTCCAGTCCCTCCTGATCACTAATGCTGTGACTGTTGATTCATAGTGATAAGGACCTTACTGCTGAGGAATGTGTTCTGTGTGGTGGATGAGGCTAACTTCACGTACATGCCCAGAGTCTGCTTGCATTACAGATTCAATATTAACACGATAAGGCACAGGAGCTGCCTGCCTACCTGGCTGGGTAGGCATTAACCCAACCAACTCTGCCCATAGGGATGCTTCCTGCTTTCAGTTTCCTTAAGTTTGAGTTAAAACATCCCTTAGTCCTTCCACTCCACTATCACCTGGCATATAGCTATTTTATGCCCTCGTCTTGCTCAAAGCCTTCATAAAAGTCAAATTTTAATTATTTATATCCTTTTGTGGCACAGTACCTGTCCCTGTTTCTCCTTGAGGGTCTTCGGCCTCAAAGCCTCAGATCAGAGGTCAACCACACCTCCCTCTAGGAGAGCACAGATCCCACTTTTGTAGGCCTTGCACTTTCAGCCAGCACTCAAAAATCCAATTTCTCTTTGGCAGACACAAATACCCTGGCCACCAGAAAAACCAAGGCAGGCTTCCTCTGTGGATGTCTCCTTCTGCATTGGAGAAATATTATACCCACCTCCCTGCGTCCCCAACAGCAGGGCCTAACACTGGTTCAATTAACTGACCTACATGAAGGTTTATTGCAGATAAAGACTCTTCTGTTGACAACAGGTTTTGTTCCAAGTAAAAGTTATATACTCCAGAACTTCTAAGGGAGGCTGAGAAGCCCCTTGGAGAAAGGGGTTTGACGTTGGTTAGGTAGTTCCGGGGAGTGTAGAGAAGGGACACTTTCATGTTTCTATATTGGTTTGTTTTTGGTTTAGGTTTTTGTTTTTTTCCCTTTCCCAAAGATTTGAAGACAAAGTCTGGTAATCTCTATTCTACCTTCCCCATCCCCAGCCCCTGGGGGTTAAAATGACTTTAACCATTCCCGGAAAAAAATTTAAAAAGAAATCCATTTTTGGCTTAGAAATGAATGGATTAAAATCTCTCTCAAAAAAGGCTACAGGATCCAGTTAGTAAAGCATTCTAATTCTAGCCCCATTGTCTTAGACTTGTAAAATATGGTATCTTTCAATGATCTCTGAGGCTCCCTAACTCTCATGCTAATGAATCCTAGATCTGAGGGTTCTACCTGATATCAAGTGGGCCTCCAAACTCAGGGAGCTTATTAAACATGCCCTTCCTACCTCCAAGAAAAGAATCCCTACACTGAGTACTTGAGAAAATGGATTGTGGTAGTTAAAGTTCTGTGATAACCTGGTTGGGCTGTGGTTTTCAGTGCTCAGCAGCTGGATGTAGTTACTCCCCATGATGAGACTGTGATCACATCCATGGTGGAATCTGCGATGAGCAGCTGAGTGGTTGCCTTCAGGGTGTGGCCTGCTTCCAGTATATAAGGAGCAGCTTTGAGAAAGGTCTCTAGCTTTTTGCACATCTGGATCCTGCATTTGGCCAAGTAACCAGTGTCCTGCCATGTGGCCTACTAATCTTGGGACTGTGCCATTTTACCTGCTGACCTTGGATGCATCAGCCTCAGCAGCCAACAACTGTCTGAGTTAGGAGATACCTCTAGCTCCAGTGGGCCTGGAATAAGAGGCAGAGCTGATGCCCAAGGTCAAAAGGCCTTCACCCAGCTGGCACTCTGAATTTGAACTTCTAGCCTCCTAAACTGTGAGAGAATAAATTCCTGTTTGTTAAAGCCATTTACTTGTGGTATATCTGTCATAGCAGCACTAGAGAATCAAGACATTGATCATTTAAAGTATAAAAGTTAATATATAAGTGACGAATCATTTAAGAGTGAAAAATATGAAGGCTGATATAAGGTTTGAAGCTGTGTGACCTTGGTAAAGCACCTTCATCATCTAGGCCTCCTTTCAGTACTGCAAAATAGCAATTATAATAAACCCACTGCCATTGAGTCAATTCTGATTCATAGTGACCCCCACTGGGTTTCCAAAGCTGTAAATCTTTATGCAAGTAGATTGCCTCCTCTTCCTCTCATGGAGCAGCTGCTGGGTTTGAACCACTAACCTTCTGGTTAGCCCCCAAATGCCTTAAGCAATTACAATAGGACCTCCTTATACTGTTGTTGTTAGGTGCCATGGAGTCGCCTCCAACTCATAGCAACCCTATGCACAACAGAAAGAAACACTGCCCAGTACTGTGCCAGCCTCACTATCCTTGCTATACCTGAGCCCATTATTGCAACCACTATGTCAATCCAACTTGTTGAGGGCCTTCTCCTTTTTTGTCGACCTTATACTTTACCAAGCATGATATCCTTCTCTAGGGAATGGTCCTTATATAATTATGAGGATTAACTGCATTCATATGAGTTAAGGGCTTATAATATGCCTGGCACATAGTAAAACCAAATCAAACGCACTCCAGTCAAGTCTCTTCCAACTCATAGCGACTCTATGGGATAGAGAAGAACTGATACATAGAGTTTCCGAGGTAATAAATCTTTTTGGAAGCAGACTGCCTCATCTTTCACCCACAGACTGGCTGGTGGGTTCAAACTACCAGCCTTTTGGTTAACAGCTAAATGTTTTAACCACTATGCCACCAGAGCTTCTCGGCACACAGCACTCAACAATTGTTAGTTGTTATTACAATAAGTTCCCTGGGTGGTGCAAACTGTTTGCGTTTGACTGTTAATCTAAAGGTTGGCAGTTCAAACCCACCCAGCAGCACTGTAGAAGAAAGACCTGGTAATCTGCTTCCGTAAAGACTGCTGTTGTTGTTAGGTGCCGTCAAGTTGGCGCTGACTGATAGCGATCCTATGGACAACAGAACGAAATACTGCTGGGTCATGTGCCACCCTCTCCATCCTTGCTATACTTGAGCCCATCCTTGCAGCCACTATGTCAATCCATCTCGTTGAGACTGTAAAGACTACAGCTAAAAAACCCTATGTAGCAATTCTACTCTGTAACATATGGGGCTGCCATGAGTAGGAACCGACTTCATAGCAATGAAGTTTTTATTGTTATTATTATTACAGCACATGTGTAACAATTAATGTTGAACAACAGAAGAAACACTCTACACACACAAAAGAGGTCTACCACAGTACAGCACCCTTCCCTGTTGTCTTCTATCTATGAAATCTCTGTAACATTTAAAGTATGATAGCTTGGAGAGCAGTCAAAATAAAAGACACAGGCCAATGAGTAACTCACTTCACAGGGCTAAAGTATTCCTGCTAATTACACTCCTTTGTCATTCAGAATTTAAAGAAAAACCTGGCATCAGCAGAAATATATCATTTGTGCCTATTGCCCTCTCCTTCTCCTAACTGAAGAAAGATAACAGGAATTAAGCCACTGCCCCAGGCTGGGGAAGCACTTAAGAGTACCTGAGACTCACACCCCCAGGCCCAGTTTCTGAATTTAACAAAGGATCATGAGTGGGTTACCCAATAAGCAAAGTAAGCACAGGCTTCCTTGTGCTTATGTACTAATCTGTAATGTACAGTTTCATTTTTCACCACATCAAAGATTTTTTTTAACATATCTTTGATGTGGTGAAACCCATGTGAAACTGTTCACTACAGATTAGTAACTATGCACAGGTAAACCTGTGCTTACCTTGCTTACAGGGTACTCCATCCCTGTCAGGAATTGTAAATTTGAAAAGAGGCTTTGATTCTGTAGGAAGGTGCTGTAGAGTTGGAAGAGAGAAAGATGCCAGCCATACCTAGAAACAGAATCTTTGATGTGGTGAGAAAATGTGAAATTGTTCACTGCAGATTGATAACTAAACACAAGTAAACTTGTGCCTTGTTTATTGGGTAATCTGACCTCCAAATGATTAGGGTTGTCAAATAGCATCAACAAAATGTACTTTAAAAAAATGTTTTGAAGTTCAAAAAGAGGTAAAACTAATCTATAGTGTTAAGAGATCAGAATAGTGGTCACCTTTGTTGGGTGGAAGAGACGAAGAGGACATAAGGAGGTTTTCCGGAGTGCCGATGTTTACTGATCTGGGTAACTGGTTACATGAGTGTGTTCACTTATGAAAATTCATCAAGCTGTATGCTTGATGTATGTACATTCTTTTCAATAAAAAGTTTACTAAAATAAAAGAAAGCAAAGTAGAAACATGCATGTGGTAGTTAAGGTTGTGTGTTAACTTGGCTGGACTGTGGTTCTGAGTACTTAACAACTGGATGCAGTCATTCCTTAAAATGATATTGGAATCAACTCCATGGTGGAATATTCTGAGTAGTTAAGTAGTTCTTCAGGGTGTGGCATCCTTCCAGTATATACAGGGAAGCTTTGAAGATCTCTAGCTTTTTGGCACATCCAAATCCTGCATTTGGCTGAGTCATCAGTGGCCTGTCATGTTGCCTGCTGATCTTGGGGCTGTTCCTGAACTTAAACTAGTAGCCTGCTAATATTGGGACTGTGCTATTTTACCTACCGATCGTGGGTCCATTAGCCTCAGCAGCCAGCAGCTGTCTGAGTTAGAAGACACCT